CCACGTAAACTCACCGAATGCGAAACTGTCTCTCGTCTTCTCGCTCACACGAAACTCCTCCTCCGTCGTCGCGCCGCCGCATTCGCCGCTTTCGACGCCGGGCTTTTCGCAGAATCGATCCGTCATTTCTCCAAAATCCTCGACGGTCGTCGTCGTCCTGCGCCGCAAGGATTCCTCGCCGATTGCTATATGCATCGAGCCGCCGCTTATAGATCCGCCGGAAAAATCGCTGAAGCAATCGCCGATTGTAACAAAACGTTAGCTTTAGAGCCGTCGTGTATCCACGCTTTGGAGACAAGAGCTTCGCTTTTGGAAACGGTTCGGTGTTTACCTGATTCGCTTCACGATTTAGAGCATTTGAAGATTCTTTACAACACTATCTTACGTGATCGGAAACTTCCCGGACCACCGTGGAAACGACACAATGTGAAATACAGAGAGATTCCGGGGAGATTATGTGTATTGACGACGAAATCGAAGTTTTTGAAAGGGAAAATCGCCAATGGAGAAATGGGGAACGTTGATTATTATGGATTGATCGGAGTTAGAAGAGGTTGTACGAGATCGGAGCTTGATCGAGCGAATCTTTTGTTGTGTCTCAGACATAAACCTGATAAAGCTTTGTGTTTTATCGAACGTTGTGATATCTCCGACCAGAATGAGATCGATTCGGTTAAAGATCGAGCGAAGATGTCTTCGTTGTTGCTTTACCGTTTGATTCAGAGAGGTTACTCTGTTTTGACGGCGATAATAGCAGAGGAGGAACAAAGGAAGAAGAAGACGATGGTGTTGACTCAAAAGTCAACGAAAACGGTTGAAGAACATGAACCGGTTGAAAAATCTGGTTTGGTTAAGATAACCGGTTTATCAGAGATAAAACCGGGAAATTCAAGCGCGTATCAAGGAGTTTTCTGTAGAGATCTTGCCGCTGTTGGGAATTTACTATCTCGGACCGGTTTTAACCAACCGATTCCGATGAAATACGAAGCTCTCAGTTGTTAAAAAGATTTAAACCGGAAAATTTACGAAACAACAAGTGGAACGACGCTGTTCTGGATTAGTCAAAGTCAATGATGTATGTATGTACGTAAGAATTAAATTCCACTCGAATTTTTTTTGTCACTTTAAATATTCGTTCTCTTTATAGTTTCTCCTTCTGCAAAGATAATGTTTGGATAATTAGAGTCGGATTAAAATTAAAACTACAACTCCATACAAAATATTTTAAAGAAGTGTTCCTCTTAGATTTGTCTGGTTAATATGGATAAATGAGACTGACACAACAAATTAATATTCCGAGGAATCTTATCTACAAAGTTTGGTTTAAATTAGTAAATTAGATAAATAATGATCCAGTATTCCAGTTTAATAATAATCTGAAAGATACAAAGTTGGTTTAAATTAGTAAATTAGATAAATAATGATCCAGTATTCCAGTTTAATAATAATCTGAAAGATTGGTGGGTTTTATTCAATTGTTACAAGAATAAATTAATTTTTGAGAATCTTGACCAGATTTAAGAATTTAGTTCGGTTTGATTCCCTACTAAAATTGTTAACATATGAGAGAGAGCTCTTAAAATTTGCCATGCAATTATTTTCATCTGCCATTGTTTCACATTTGGGTTTCAGAATAATCACTGAACGACACAGGGAATACTATGCAACCTATTCATTAAATTAAAATCATCATCTCCCTCTCGTATACACAAACACATATTTTTATTATAAACATTTAATATACATATTTGGTTTGTCGTTTTTTCCCCAAATTTAGTGAATTATGTAAAAGAAATTGAAAAACAACTCCTCCTTTCTCAAGTCTTTATAATTATATTGATAATTTCATTATAAACGAATTGGTTCATTTTGAGATTTAGTTGGGTGAATATGGTCGAATTAACAATATATGGTGAAAAAACGAGAAAAGTAAGAAAATTGAGGGGTGAAAAAGTTAAAAATAAGAAAGCACGTGATGTATAGGATTTTGGAGACATTGGAAAGAGGATCAGTCGTGGCCAGGTATATGAATATAATGATGTCAGTGTAGATCCATGTGAGCCTATCATCTATACTTATTATTTGCTTAATACTTTATTATATTGAGATTTTTTTTTTTGAAATATGGTTTTGAAAATGGTCATTTGC